GATAGATTTCTCTTACTTCAACTATGCTCACAATTCTCTTTGCGAAAAAACAGTATTCAAGATATAGCTGCTGTTAGAATCCTAATTTCTTCCAATCTCCTACGATACGGTTTTGTCGAGAAGCAAAAACCCCACTATCGAAATTCAATTATATTTTGTCATTCCACAAGAATCGTTCGTCAAAAAGATTCTACCTTAGCTTTTCGGTTAATGGGATGTATGCGTTCTGAACGAAGAAATGTCAGAATCCGCAATGCGCATTTGTTGCATGTAATATCGCTAAATCTTTATAAACGTCTGAAATTGAAAATCTGTCGCATCTAAGGCAGATAAAAAAATAAGGTATATATCTTGCCCGTATTGAGTTTCCTAACTACTGGGTCAGAATCCCAGAACTGAATTGCCCATTCTTTTTTATAGTGTTTTCCAGCACAATATCTAAATAAAAGTTCCTGGGCGCAGTATTTAGACGAAACTTGAAGAAAATTAGTGAAGAAAAGCTTGCAATGTTTCGGGCTTTAATGACCAGGATTCGAGATTGTCTTGTAAAACTGAAAAGAGAACCGGCGATAAAGCAGCGAAGGCTTCCAATAGTCTTGAAAACGATTGGCGTGCTGGATTGAAGTATTTCATTTCAGAAAATGTTTCTCAGACTCGTTCTTATCTTTATCCTAATGCATGACAACATTTGTTTGGCCGGAAGGAAGAATGCCGTCGGAATTTTGGCCACCGGAAGAAAGAGTGCCATGGGACTTTTAGACGACTATCTTAAACAGGCAACGTTATCAAAATGTGTACCACGTGGTGGTAGGGGTGGTAAAAGAAAACATATATTGGATATGTTTGAAGGAGAACAGTCACAACTCGAGCAAGCGGTGAGTTTTATATTTTATTGATAGTCCGCGTTCTCAAGTAATCTGATACTTTCAGTGCCAGAACATTGGTAATGGAGAATCAAAGGAGAAGACCGACTACCGCCGCGACTTCGACGAATGTTTGTGGGAGCGACTTTCAGTGATTTGCAATTTCTGAAATAAAAAACCTTGTTGAAAACAGCTAACTTAAAATACGCTACTTGACGCTGTTTGGAGCATTCGACATGGTGATGATGTCCAAGAATTTATGTATGGCTCCAGAAAAAAGTGCTTTGTAGGGTGCCCACAAAAGCGAAAACTGAAGTTAGCAGCGAAAAAGCGAATTTACGAGCTTAGAGCCTCGCTCCGATAGCGACTGTCCCCCCTTTGACTTGGATGCCGCTCATACAGCGATCTTAAACTGCACTGAGCGAGCTTTGAGCAAATAATTACGGTCTGAGTCCCATAATTTCTGGTCTCTCATAAACTCTGCGCCTCAACCTTGGCGAGATTTGCATCCTCATGTCGGAATCTGGAGTTTCAAGAAAGTCCACTTTCGACATTTCCGTGCTCTCCGTATTGTAAGCAGGTTGTCGAAAAATCTTTTCTTTGAGTTTTTCCCGGGCTACTCTGTACACAGTTTCGTTGTTTCCTGCATCTGATGCTGAACAAAAATGCCACATTTTTGTGCAAACATTTCTGGCCTCTATACGAGTCGTGTAATGTCATTAACCAGTTCGATTGTACTAATAGATTGCACTACACTTTCACGGCGTGCTTACTCAAAAAAAAAATGTTGGCTCAGCTTTCAGCGGTCACTTTCGGAAAG